ACAATATTGAAATAGGGAAAGAACAGTGCAAATAAAAAATATAAACTAAAGTGTCTAAACACTTTATTAGTAATAGTGTTATTATCATTATTATTATTATTTATTATTATTAATTATATTGACTATGATGATAATAGTAAATATGACTAAATATTAATAATACAATATTCATATATTATATTTTGTATTGTCATCATCATTATTAATAATGATTAATTATTAGTATTAGTATTATTATGACAATAATACTGAAATGGGGAAAGAACCGTGTGAAAGAAAAATAGAAACTAAAGCGTCTAAAAAGAGTGTATTTTCAAGATCAAGAACACAGAAAGCAAAGATTATTGTTTCGGTGATTTGATTCGCATTGCATCCTTAACGGTAAAGTAAATTCAATGCATTTCTTAAAAAATCATGCAGAATCAATCTGGGTGAACATAAACTAAACTAAATAATAACTAAACCATCTAAACGAATCGTCCAGCCCAGATTTAGACGAGGCTTGAACAGCCATGTTGTGTCTTCCAATCCATCGTCGGCTGTAAATATGGACTTATCCATAAAAAAACCTCCCAGGATCAGCATTCATCACTGTATTTTTATTGAAGGCACCAAAAAGAGCGCTGCTGATTGGCTCAGCAGTGCAGTGGGTGTATTTCTGTCGCGGCGCTTCATTGAGACAATCGTGGTGTCAGCTAACACCCCGGGGACGGGAATACCCTGCTGTCGCCCTGCCAGCCCAATGTAAACAGGAGAATCAACTTGCTCCTGAGATTCCCGCCAGGCAGGAAGGGCCACTCACAAACAAAACGCTCATTAGCAAACACAAGACGCTGAATAGACAACTGTAAAGTCTGTGCTGTGTTTACAGAGAGCGCTAATATGCGTGCATTCAAGAAATACTTCCTCTGGTTCTGTTCACGAGTTCAGCAGTTCAATAAACAGTGACATTTTCATGCATATCTGGCAGCTGAAATGCTCTGGCAAAACACCGGCTGTGTTTTAAAGCAGCAGAACTGGTATGTTTTTTACGTTCTGTATACGAACCACAAGCCTTGTTCACAAGACGAGACGAAAATACAAGACAAGCCGAAACTTTCCAGAGCAGTTGCTGTAAAAATTTCCGGGTGAGTATTCAGGACGTTTTCGCTTCTGCAAACATTATAAAACACTTTCAATATTTGAAAACATCCCACAGCAAACACGTTCAGGCGGAAAGAATTTGGAATTGCCAGAATATTCCGTTTCATACTTTTGAAAACTTTGGCGTTTTGTGTTTAGCGCGAGGTTCCGTTGGGACTCCAATCTGGTCTGTAGAGCTGCAGGTCTGGCTCGGGTCCCTGCCGCAGCGCGCCCGTTTTAAAGGCCTGTGGTGTGAAGCCTTCCTGCTCGGAGCGTGACCACATCCACCAGGGCACAAACCCTCGCTCATAAAGGCATCATTGCAGCTTATATGTGTCCCTCGAGTAGAGACATGGAGACTGACCAGCGCGGCTCAACTCACACGGCCAACCGCACCAGCTAGAAAGTATGTTCACTTGGAGATAGATGGATAGAGAGAGAGAGCATCTGGTTTCCAAAAATATCTCTGAGCAGAGGAATTCCTCTATAAAAGATCTGGAGGCCTCTCTTCTCTCCGCCTCTGAAAAATAATCAGTGTCTGGAGGAACAACAACAGCTTGATGGTAAGCATCCACTGCTAGAACAAACGTCACAGGTTTCGTTCCAGGTAGGGCTGGATTTATAAGGATTCCTGTCCGGTCCTTCTAAAATTGTACTTTGAGTGAGACACTTAACCCCTTAGTTGCTTGCTGTGCTTCTTTGTATGGCTGCACAATTTGGCCCAATTTTTATGATTATATACTGGCATGACTATGAATAATAATAATCATTATTATTATTATTATTAATAATAACAATAATAATACATATATAATTAAATAATTACAATAATTAAAAATAATACTACTAATTATAATTAAAATATTTAACAAAATTAAGTACAACAAAATAATAACATAACATTAAGAAATATTAATATTGTAATATTTCATTGTAAAATTTAAAAAAAAATTGTATTAAAAAAAATTATAATTTTTGTAAGTATTGTTATTACAAAAAATTTCAATACTTACAAAATTATTATTCTATTATTTTTCATAAATACTATGTTATTTTGCAATGAAATATCACATAATATGAAATATAACACTAATACTTATATAACATACATATTTTCCCCTGTATTTCTTCATTTTCAAATGTTTAACCAGCGTTTATTTCAGTTGAAAGCTACAGGGAGATCTTAAAGCTTCTCTTTTGTTAAAGCCAGTTTATACGTGACTGCTAAGACGTTTTTTTAAAGACGTTTTTGTAAATGCACATTATAAGCAACCTAAACTCAAAGCAGAAGCAAAGAAGAGTTTGTGTGGAGCAGCATTTGATGTGAACAGAGACACTGAAAACACCAGATCATGAGCTGCTCATGTGTAAACAAAGTTTACACACACAGTTCGGCGCTTCGCTCTGAAACATGCAGCACATATATTTATCTTATTAAATGTTGGCTTTTGCGATTGCATAATTGCACTAAGCCGTATCACGATTTAGACTGTCTGATGCATCTATATTACATACAAATAAATGGCGAGAGCTTTACAAAATCCACAAGCTCCAATCTGATTGGCTCCTAAAAACACTTCCAAGAAAGTTCTTGAAAAAGCAAGATTTTAATACACCTAGTAGCCTGTAAACAAGACATTAAGCTACCTTTAGCCTCAAAGACTAGTACTTCTAAACATCAACATGCAATAATACATTTGACTTACCTCCACGTCCTGCCGGCTGAAGTCGTTCTGGTCTTTGAAGTTAGCCGCGCCTGCGCTGAGCTCCATCAGCATTTTGCCGATCTCGGGCTTTATTGCTGTGGTGAGCCGGCTGGTCGTTTCCATGACATGTTCCTGCACGTCCTTCAGTTGCATAGCTGCTTTGGAGTAACGCGAGTCCCGGAAAACGCTGCCGAAGAGCTCGGTCAGGAACGCACTCGCGCGGCAGAACGCATTCAGCGCGTCCAGGTATTTGGAGATGCCCTGCTGGATGTCTGCGATCGCCGTGGTGGCGCTGGGGGCCGGGGCGTGGCAGCCAGAAGGGGAGGAGCCTATGGTCGCCATGGGAGAAGGGGTGGAACAAGAAGAGCCCAACGGGGCGCTGAGGGTCCGGCTGAGCTCGGGCAACTGGAACTGCTGATGCTGCTGCACTTTGTGCTTGGACCCGCCAAGCAAAAAGCGCAGCTTGTAGTCCATTTTACTTTCTTGTGCACTGCAACAATACATAAGTATTCAATGCACCCAGGAAGTATCGGTCCTCTCGACTTCACCTTCGAATGAGTTCTGGATGCCTAATCTGGGTCTCCTTGAATCAAGTAAATAGATAGCTTAAAGATCCCATTAGAGGGGCAGTCATGACAGTAACCCGCTGTGAAAAGATGGAGAGAGTGGCGCGAAGGAAGGTTCGAGGAAATCTTGCAGCCCAGCTGCAACTCCGAACGTAGCTCACATGAAAACGTTTGCAAAAAAAACCCCCAACAAAATATCCCAGTGAAAGTTATTTTCCCTTAGAACTGGTTCACGGGTGCCTCTCGGGGAAAAAAACGATCTAGCTTCAATCCTGGACGAAAATCCAAAGTGCGTAATCAATCCTTCAAATGGAAGCGAAAAACCCTCCTCTCCGAGCTCTTTCCGTAGGCCTCTAATAAAAATAGAAAAATCTTAAAAATCTCTCAGCAAAAGGCTATGAATTTTCAGAAGAGGAAAAACAGTGGCAGGATTGGTGTGAGCTACAGGGTGATGTCGCCTTGGCACGTTGCGGGCCTGCGCCGCTCTGACGGATCCAGTCGGTCAGAAGGGTTGTGAGCGCCGTACAGCTGGTCAGGGGTCGAGCGGGGGCCAGTTGAACAGACGCAGCTGCCGGGAGAGATCACCAGGCTCCCTCTTGATCAGTTTCCAGTGCCTGAGGTAGTTAATACTCACAACGGAAACAAATGTGCTTCCAGATAGGGATGTCTCAGAAAACGCAGGCCACAGCAACAAAAGCACGAACTATCTATAAGGCCTCGCAGTCATTTCCTGCGAAAGAAACAAAGAGGGAATGTCAGAGAGATATCACAGGGAGGATGTGTTTTGACATTTGTTTCTAAGCGTCTCCTGGAGATTTGATTCAGGCGTTTGTTTTCAAACGGAGCACTAATTAGTGCATTAGATAGAGTTTCTCTGGTCATTAAATCATTCAACTGAATGAGGCCTAAATTACACTGTTGTTGCATTTGTGTGCAAAAGAATCAACATTTTTCACAGTAATATAAATGTAAGCAAAAATTTTCACAGTAATATAAATGCAAGTTCACCGAATTAAAATTGTGTATAAAGAAACAGCACAGAACCAGTGTTAACAAAACAAAAACTATTAAAAATAGATTTTGGTACAAAATAAAGCTGAAAAAAAAATTTAATATTAATATTAGATTAAAATAAGTGTATGTTGAGGCACTAAAATAACTAAACTGAAAAATAAAGATAAACAGAGACATAAAAATAAAAAAAGTATTACTAAAATGACTAAAACAAACAAAAAAATTCAATAAAAATGACTAAAACACAAATTAAATACTAAAAATATAAAAATAAAAGCCAATTCATATTATTAATAAATACTATAAATAATAGTTTAGAAATAAAAACAACTTTCCTCAACAAGACACATGATTCGAGGAAACATTCATGTCAAATGGAAGTAAAACTATTAAAAACAGACTTCGGTAACTAAAAAATGAAATAAAATAAAATATAAATAAAAAAAAGCTAAAATGGAGACATGACAAAACTAAAAAAAAGACAAGAGCACAAAACAGAATTACTCAAATTAAAATGAAAACTACAAATGTACAAATAAAAGCTAATTAAAAATATTAATAAACAATATAAAATCACACTAAAATAGCAATGCCATGTTTCCTCAACAAGACACATTATTTGCGTAATTATTCATGCCAAATGGGGCATGTTTATGTGATTAAATTTAATATTTAGTGCTAAACTGCCATCACCAACTATGAGCAACAGCATGTAATGCATGAGTTAGTAAACACCGCTATATTCCCCGAACAGAACACACTGAAACAACAATTAACAATGGTCCTTACGTCACGAAAACAATGTCTGCCACTCATTATTCAAACCTGACAGAACACTGCAGGACAACACTGAAAAAGCACAGCATCTCACTGTCTGAAGAGCAGCCCGTCAACAATATCTGCAATTCAAAACCACCGGGTAAAACCCATGAGAGACGTGTTGTTTTGGTCTGACATTATGCAAAAAGTCCCTTTGCATTTGCATAAGCAGAAAAATATAATGCCGCACAATTTGCTCATTTTAACAGCTAAAGTCGTCACGCTTCAGAAGACAGCCACAGGTGCTGTAGTGTCTTTTATTGAATACTAAAACACATTCTGTGTGAAACGTGCCACAAGACTTAATTAGGACTGACTAGTTGTACGGACTAGGTTCACCATTTTCACTTCCCTAAAGGTAGGGTCAGGCAATTTGGCAAAAATATTACAATAAAATCATTCAATATCAATATTCAACACAATATTCATTTCATACTATTAACGGGGAAGGAAATCATTGTTTCATGTTTGTTAGACCATAAATGTATACATAATTTGCCTACAAATAAACTGCAAAGAATCATTTTTAATGCAGGCCCCATGAAATAGGTTTTATTTTTCCACAAAATCTGGTGTTTCATTTCATTTTTTTCCATAATTCTGTGTTATGATTTTTTTTGTTGTATTAAATTTATCATCAAAATGGTATTCAATGAAATTAATTAAAAAAACGTAACAATTTAATAAAGCTTTTTTAATCAACTGAAAATATAACTTACAACAAAACATTGCATTTTTGTCGAAGACAGCCACAGGTGCTGTAGTGTCTTTTATTGAATACTAAAACACATTCTGTGTGAAACGTGCCACAAGACTTAATTAGGACTGACTAGTTGTACGGACTAGGTTCACCATTTTCACTTCCCTAAAGGTAGGGTCAGGCAATTTGGCAAAAATATTACAATAAAATCATTCAATATCAATATTCAACACAATATTCATTTCATAAGGAAATCATTGTTTCATGTTTGTTAGACCATAAATGTATACATAATTTGCCTACAAATAAACTGCAAAGAATCATTTTTAATGCAGGCCCCATGAAATAGGTTTTATTTTTCCACAAAATCTGGTGTTTCATTTCATTTTTTTCCATAATTCTGTGTTATGATTTTTTTTGTTGTATTAAATTTATCATCAAAATGGTATTCAATGAAATTAATTTAAAAAACGTAACAATTTAATAAAGCTTTTTAATCAACTGAAAATATAATTTACAACAAAACATTGCATTTTTGTCAAATAAGGTGCTAAACAATAGAACTTGTATAGTGTATAAAAATATGGATGAAAAAATATAATTATTATTATTGTTGTTGTTGTTGTTGTTATAAATGATATTTTATTTTTATATACATATATAAAACTTAAATACATAATTATAATAAAGTGTTTTAATACACTGTATTATTATCATTATTATTATTAAACAAAAATATTTCATATAAAAATAAAATAAGTAATAATTATAATAAAAATAATAATAATGATAATAAATACGTTTTAATACCCTGTATTATTATTATGATTATTATAATTATTAAATAAAAACAATATTTTATATAAATATTTTATTTTTTATATTTTTAAATATAAAAATAAAATAAGTAATAATAATTATAATCAAAATAAGTGTTTATACACTGTATTATTATAATAATAATAATAATAATACACATTTCAGGAGCCCTTTGCTCGAGTTTACACTTCCGCAGATGAAAAAGTGTTTCTCTTTCCACCGTCATTGTGCTGCTGAATTAACGCTATGTGAACTTGTGCTGTTGAAGCAGCATAGAAACTTTCCAGAAGTCCCTTCTGTTTATCTGCCGTGTTCCAGTGACCTCAAAATCTCACTTCCTTTGACAAACAACAAACTGTTATCTAGGAAAACACGTGCTCACATGCACACTGGGGCCAAACACAAACAAACACTCCTGTCAGCTTTAGAGGACAGAGACAGGCTCCTAGTGAAGTAAAGAGCAGACGTCTGTCTCCTGTAAAAGCCCGGTTTTGAGCGTATGACAAAGAATAGGCGAGCGCAGTTCCTGTCAGTAAACCCTGTGGATTAAAGTGTGTTTTCAGTGCCAACCGGGTCAAAGTGTTTGCTGCTTAACCTGCTCAATAACACACAACAGTGGAAACAGGGTGGCACCTCACTTGGCACCTCATACAGAACGCCCTTCAGACGCTCGACGAACGGGAGACGGCTGGGAAGCGCCCTGGTCGAAGATCAGAAGGAAGTCTTGTGATGATGGATCATCTGTGCTGAAGGTCTCGTGCTAAATAAAGTTCAGAACTTCCTCTGTCAGTGCGGCTTCTTATTGTACTGGCAAAAGCACAATACTAGTATCGCTCTACAGATGAGCCATCAACAAACAATCAGCCAGCAACATTTATCCAAAGACGTCGGCAGATACACAGCACTTAAAACGATTGTTCACCCAAAAATGAACATTTACTAATCTTCATGTTATTCCAAACCAGTTGTTTTTGTCCCTACAATGAAAATCAATGGGGTGCAAATCAACACTGCACCAAAACCTACCAATCTGCCCATACTTGCATACTACATTATGAATTACATATTGAGTATTAAAGACTACGATTTTTTTTAAAGATTTCATATAATTAAATAAAAATGAGTGCTTTCAAATGATTAATCGCAATTAATCACATCCAAAATAAAAGTTTTTGTAATAATAATTTAATAATAATAATTTATGCATTTAGCAGACGCTTTTATCCAAAGCGACTTACAGTGCATTCAGGCTATACATTTTTTACCAGTATGTGTGTTCCCTGGGAATCGAACCCACGACCTTTTGCGCTGCTAACGCAATGCTCTCAATGCACCACTGAGCCACAGGAACATTTTGTTTACATAATATGTGTGTGTACTGTGTATATGTATATATAAATACACAAACATGCATGTATATATTTAAGAAAAATATGTTCTGCCTATACAGGGTCCTGCTATATTAAAGGGGTCATATGATGTTGCTAAAAAGAACATTATTTTGTGTATTTGGTGTAATGAAATGCGTTTATGCGGTTTAAGGTTCAAAAAACACATTATTTTCCACATACTGTACATTATTATTTCTCCTCTATGCCCCGCCTTTCTGAAACGCGTCGATTTTTACAAAGCTCATCAGTCTGAAACGCGAGGTGTGCTCTGATTGGCCAGCTATCCAGTGTGTTGTGATTGGCCGAATACCTCAAGCGTGAGACGGAAATGTTACGCCCCTTGCCATATTGTGATGCCGTGTCCGGCTGGAGCAATGATTCAAAAACATGAAAACCCATTATAAACTAGGCATTTGTTGCATCCAGTGGGGACATAATTA